AACCTCGAATAGAAGTTGCAGCCTTGTAAAACTTCACTTTGGCCAGATGTATTGAAAAAAAGCTAGAAATCTATCATTCCTTTTACTTTACAAAGCATTTAATGCTCTCTTTCTCAGTCTCCTGGCACCTTATCTCCATAAATCTATACAACCTTACCTGTTGACCCGCAGAAAAGCTAAAGGTTTTCTGCCCTTGCCCTACGTGTCCTTGTTGCCATGAGACGGCCTCTGTGTGTTAGAATCACCTGTTCAAGCAAAGCTCTGGGCTGTTTTCCACCTTTTTGTGGACATTTTGAAAGCCTGGGAAGGTGGAGCAGAAAGTGAAGGCTGAAGCTTGCCCAAGTTCAAGAACTCTGAATTAAACAGAGAGGTTTTTGCTTGCTTGCTTGCTGCTGTTGAATGAGCTGGAAGTGCAGTGTGTGTTGGCTGTGCTCTTGCAGGTGGGCTTCCAGAAGATCCTGACTTTAACCTACGTGGATAAGTTGATAGACGATGTCCATAAGGAGTTCCGAGACAAGTACCGCAATGAATTCCAGCAGAAAGGCGCCCTGGGCCTCCTAAATGGCACCTTTGATTTTAAAGATGACTTCATGCGCCTCCTCCGGTAGAGAGTTTGGGTTTTGTCTTAAATTCCTGTTTTGAGCAGAGATAGGAGGGGGAGGAAGAGCTGAAATCCAGGCTAATGGGTCATGTCCCTGCAGGGATGCAGAGGAGAGCAGCAAAGTCCGAGCTCCCACGGTAATGAAGACGTTTGAGCAGTCTCTGAAATCCCAGAAGACTGTCAAGTGTATGATTGAAACCCGAGGGGAGAAACCAAAGGAGAAGGTCAAGAACAAGAAGAACAAAGGTTCCAAAAAGGATGGTGAGTTGATGGGGAAGATAAATGGGAGGGAAATAAATATTCCAGAGCAATGTGTTGCAGCCTATGCTTTCTTGATCTACTTGGAGCTGGACTGAGCTTGTGTTGGGGCTCTTCCTGTCAGGAACTGAAGCTGTGGCAGCGCCCAGTAAAGCATCTGCAGGTGACAAGCAGCTCTCGGCAGCAGGGGACAAGGAGGAACTGACCAAGGATGAAATCCTGCAGAAGAACCGGGAGGAATTCTTCAGGAGACACATGAAAGCTGGGGAGAAGTCCAGGTGAGTCATGAGGGCATGGTCAGTCTGTCTATGCTTCCAACTAGGCCATGGCTGAATCTCTTCTCATTTTGGTGACCCCTGGAAGCCAGACCTCACTTTCCTGGACCTTATTTCCCTGATTTTCATTCTTGGTGAAAAGACTGGGAGAAGACACCTGGGGGTCTTGGAGGGACCTGATTTTCTTTCCTGGGAGAGGTCCAGGCTGTCTTTAGTGAGCAGATGGCAGCAGTGCATTGATACCTGGCTTGAGGGGAAGTGGTGCCATACAGGATTAAAGTTCAGATAAATAAACTCTGGAGATCAGATCAATTTCTGCCTTTTTGGGTAATCCAGGCTTTTATTTTTCATGTCTCCTAAGGAGGTGATGTCTGCTGTTTCCCTGCACTGAACACAATGTGTTTCTGGTCTTTGTTCCATCAGATCTCCAAAGCCCGATGCACAGAAGGAGAAGGGGAAGAAGCCCCGGGTGTGGGATCTGGGGAACTCTAATGCCAAAGTACTTGATTACAGTAATTCCGCTACCAACGGCAGTGCAGAGGCTTGTCCTGTGGAGGAGTTTGACCCTGACATGGTAAGGAAAAGTCAGGCTCTTTTTGCTGTCCTGTTCTCTGGGATCAGCTGGGCGTTATGAACCCAGCCCAGTCTCTGTGCCTGGATGAGAAGGGATCATGAAGAAACATGAAACCAGGATTGTGGTACTCAGCCCACAAAGCCACTTTTTCCCCTCACAGGCCCTGGGGGACAAAAATCGTGAGCCTGGCCGACTCTACGACCTGGAGTATGAGAGTGATGACGAAGCTGAAGAGGAGAAAGTTGTCCAGAACCCTTCGAAACCCAGGTAGAGGCTGCCAGAGCCCTTGCTTGTCACATGATTCTTGATTTCTCTCCCGTAACTCCTGTTCTAGTCTAACCAGTAATGCAGGAAGCACAAACTGGTGTGTTTGTCCACTCTGGGCAAGCCCTTCTGTATCTGACCTTTGCAGATAGTCACTCTCAAACCTCACTGTAACTCTTCTGCTTCTCCACAGTGTGAAGAAGGGTGGCCTGGGGGGCATGTTTGGCATGCTGAAGGGCCTGGTGGGTTCCAAGAGCTTGACCAGAGAGGACATGGACCCTGTGCTGGAGAAGATGAAGGATCACTTGATTGGTACGTCTGGATCCGTGATGTGAGGGATTAGTGGTGGTTCCCTGTGCTCTGTTGGGTGGGCCCAAGTGTGGGTAGTGCCCATGGTTTGGGATATTCTTGCCCACAGGAACTCTGGTGGGTTCCTGTCTCACCCTTGAGGAGCCTTCTAGAGTCCAGCAAAAGGGGGGCGGCAGTCAGGTCTTGTGGGAATCCTGCACACTGACTCCATCCTTCCCTTGATGCTGATGTGGGACAGATGTAACCGTCTCAGCAGCACTGACTCCCTGCTCTGTCTTTCTCAAAGCTAAAAACGTGGCAGCTGAGATTGCAGTGCAGCTCTGTGAATCCGTGGCCAAGAAACTGGAAGGGAAGGTGATGGGAACGTTCACCAGTAAGTGCCCATGTGGCTTCCTGCGTGTGGTCTGGAGCTCTGGAGTATTCCTCACGCATGACATGTCCTCTTTCCGCCCTTTCCCAGCGGTAACCTCGACAGTGAAGCAGGCGCTGCAGGAGGCCCTGGTGCAGATCCTGCAGCCCCAGCGCCGTGTGGACATGCTCCGCGATGTCATGGACGCCCAGCGCCATCGCCGGCCCTACGTCGTAACCTTTTGTGGTGTCAACGGTGTCGGGAAGTCCACCAACCTGGCCAAGGCAGGACAAGATCCTGGAGCACAGGGGTGACGGGGTCAGGCTGTTTAGCTGCTAACAGGCTTTTCTGATCTGTTGCCACCCACAGATCTCGTTCTGGCTCATCGAGAACGGCTTCAGCGTGCTCATCGCGGCGTGCGACACGTTCCGCGCCGGCGCGGTGGAGCAGCTGCGCACCCACACGCGCCGCCTCAACGCGCTGCACCCTCCGGAGAGCCACGGCGGGCGCACCATGGTGCAGCTCTACGAGAAGGGATACGGCAAGGACGCCGCGGGCATCGCCATGGAGGCCATTTCCTACGGTACGCGCGGCACCGGGGGCGGGGGTTGCTGTCCTGGGGCGGTGCCGGCCTTCACGCTGCCTCCCTGCCGCCCCAGCTCGGAACCAGGGCTTTGACGTGGTGCTGGTGGACACGGCGGGACGCATGCAGGACAACGCACCCCTGATGACTGCGCTGGCCAAACTCATTGCTGTCAACGCTCCTGACCTGGTCCTGTTTGTTGGGGAAGCACTGGTGGGAAATGAGGCTGTGGATCAGCTGGTTAGTGAAGGCTTTGTTTTTGAGAGATGAACCTGTTTCTGGAGGTTTTCCCAGAGAATTGGAAGGCGGCAGCACCACAAATGCATTTCTCGGATCTTTTTTCTCCCTCAGGTTAAGTTCAACAAGGCCCTGGCTGATCACTCCATGGCCCAGACACCGCGGCTCATCGATGGGATCGTCCTCACCAAGTTTGATACCATCGATGACAAGGTAAGGAGGCTACTGAGGTGACTGCACAGAGCTTCCTGAAGTGACTGGAGGGGAGAGATGGGAATTGTCAAACAAAGGGCACTCCTGCACTTTCTTCATATGCTTAAGCCATTGAACCCAAATTTAGAAGTCTGGTTTCCACACATGGGGGATGGATGAATGACGAGCTCCCTCAGGGAGCACTGGATTTCACGGTGCTGCTTGTCCCTGGCAGGTGGGTGCTGCCATCTCCATGACCTACATCACGAGCAAGCCCATTGTTTTCGTTGGTACCGGACAAACCTACTGTGATCTGCGAAGCCTTAACGCCAAGGCCGTGGTCGCAGCGCTCATGAAGGCCTAAACACCAAATCGCTGTGTGCAGATGTCCCAGAAGAACCTGCTTTACCCTGTCACCAACTAGTCTTTCCCGTGTAGTGCAGAGCAGAATGGAGGAATAGCAGCATGAGGAGTACTTTTTTTGGATAAAGCACCTTCTATCCAGAAAAAGCCCTTCCCTGGGTTCCTCCATTCTGTGTCCAGTGACGCAGGCTCCCTTGCAGGGAGGCCGAATCCAGAGCTTTGTATTGTTCGTGCTGCACGGGGAGGGGTGGGCGGTGCCAGGATCTGCTGTGCTTTTTGGTGGGTTTGAAGGCTTTTTTTTGAGCTGCTTTTGATTTTTTAGACCAGCTTAGGGAGGAGGCAGGAGGGACTTGGGCTTGGGGCAGCATTAGATCTGGCTGTTAATGATGCTGCTCTTGGCAGTTCCACTGAAGCTGATAAACCAAAAAAAGGTGACGGCCTGTGCTGGGCTGGAGGGGACATGCTAAACTGCCTTAAAGTCCCCCATATCTGTCCTCACCCGGACTCTGGAGCATGGTCCCCAGACACCATGTATTTGGGCAGGAGCAAGAGAGCTGCAGCAGCCAGGTCCAGAGGAGGAAGGCAGCGTGCCCTGCCTGGCTCCTACCCGCTGGTCTTGGCATTATTTGCTAGTAAAAAGGAAAAAAAAAACCAAACCACGTTAATACTGGAAGAGAATGGTGGCTGCTTGCTGCTTTCCTGCACCCTTTCTCCCCCCTCCGAGTGCCTCTTGATCCCGGTCAGAAGTGCTACACTGAATAATACAAACCTCTCTGACGATGTCTTGTAGCTCCGTATTGCAGATGTGCTATAGTGCAATAAATTGAATGCTGTCTGCTAAGAGACATAATTTATATAAAATAAACTTCATAATTTGTTGTCTGTGTATAAATAACTTGCCTCCAGCCGGGACCTGTTTCCTACTGAGTTTGGGGGAGATGAACTCCCACAAGTGTGAGGTGTGAAAGGGTCTTTAAATGATACAGCAGCCAAAGTTCAGTGAGCAGGCCTTTAATACAACTTCAACATACAAAAACTGTACAGTAAAAAGACAGGACTAGAAAACTAGAGCTTCCAGTAAAAAAAAAAAAAAAAAAAGAGCTCAAGTTTCATTTTTTAATTGAAATACAGAATATAAAAGCTCTAGGTATGAAGTTAGAGGAGGCTGCAGCTCCCTTGGGGACACCGCGCTCCACAGGCACATGCAGCCCCAGTAAAACCACAATGACTATGTTAGACCAGGTGTTCACCGTGGAGGCTCTGTCCTGGCCTCTTCCCTGCTGGAAGGGTCCTGGCTCGGTGCTGGACAGCAGTGGGACAGTGCTGGGCTCCCTGAGGGCTGCTGGCCTGGCTTGGGCCTGTCCCAGGAGCCCCTGCCATGGCTCAGGGCCTGGGCAGGGCTGAGGCTCAGGGGCTGCATCCTGCATGGAAGCAAAGGCTGAAAACCTGCCTGGGACTCCAGGGTGCAACACAGGGAACTCTGCTCCAGAGAGCCTTCCTTACCTTTTATCTCAGTGTGGGCAGTGGCAGACCCGTTCAGCTGCTGCCCCTCCTTGGGCACACCTGGGGCAGAGCAGAGACCAATCTCAGGTGGAGAGCCAGCTGCCACGTGATGGTTTCACACAGGCTTTCCTGGCTGGGTTAACCCTCAGAATACCTGCCAGCAAGGCTCTGGCCAGTGAACCCACCTTCTCCCCTTTTTATGATTTATTAGTGATATTTCTTTGTATAAAAGCATTGGCTCAGGCTGAGCAGCACGAGGGTCAGAGAGACTAATAACCCCTTCACTAAAAAGGGAACAAACAGCTGCACATAAAAAACAGTTTGCAGGCGTGGGAAGAAGCACAGCTGTTTAAACTGTTAAAACACACAGTGATTTCAGAAAAGTAACCTGCAAATCCAGCTACACTTAGAGATACATTTGCTTTTCTCTTATAAAAAAAGGCTTCAGGAATTTATATAGCATGGAGAACAGGGGCTGCTAACCCTGTCTACTCTGCACGGTGACAACCCAGGGTCCCCCAGCCCCTGGCCCCGTACCTGTGCGACCCCTCATGGCAATCTCGCTCGTCAGCCGCTCGAAGTACTCGGGCAAGTCGGCGTATTCGTCTCCGTAGGAAATCACTTTGATCCCTTTGTCCAGCATGTTCTCACGGAGCTTCTTGAACTCATCCACATCCCCCCTCCGCACCAGCATGAAGTGCTCCAGGTCTGACTTGTGCTTAACAGCCTCTAAAAACAGGGCCTGAAACGTGGTGTCATCAACTGTCCAACCACAGCCCAAGAAGAGGAAGGACTTATTTTCATACAGCTTCTGAATCTCTCGCTTTAAGAAAGGGAAAGATGTTCTTGGTCAAGGTGAGCTTCTCATCCTCCCAAGAGACAGCACCTGCCCTATCCCTGGCAAGGTTCTGCAGCAATGCCATCCTTCAGCAAGTAAGGGAGGTGTTCCAGCAACTTAGTATGTTAGGGAATTCACCCCTCCTGTTGCCCCTATCTAATTAACTCTCCCCCACCCTCTGTGAAGCTCAGTGTAAACTCAGCTGGGCCTGTGCCTGGTTGACCCAAGTGGGAGCTGCAGCTGCACCAGGCCCAGCGTGCTCACCATGACCTCGGTGTTGCGCAGCACGTTCTGGTAGCCGGCCGGGTGCAGGACGATGCCGCTGGGGTTGGTGTAGACGCCGTGGATGTGCAGGACACTGAGCTTCCTCTTCTCCTGTGCCCACTCCAGCACCTGCTCAACACAAACCCGCAGCAAATCAGCTACCACAGCACTGCTAAATGTAACATTTTGGGGAAGCATTCCAGAGAGGCTTCTTCTCCATCAGCCTCTACACCATGGCCTGCAGCCACAACCTGTGGTGCTTGTTTGGGTCAACACTGCAGCTGACTGGTGAATGTGATGAGAACACCACATCAAAATGCAAGATTAACCAGAAAAAGGGGAAAAAACTACAAATCCTGCATCAGCATGTTTCTCAAGCCTACCAAGTTTTATTCTGTGGCCCCTACTGGCTCTGAGGGTCACCAGCTGAACTGACCTCCATTTCAGACAGCCGCTTCTGAGGCTCTCAGTTTATTCCTGCAAACCTCAGCTCGTTTAAGCTTGCAATAATTAGAATGCTTATTTGTAACACTGTAAGTACTTCCAGCCACATAGATTAAGAGGTCACTCAGGAAACATGAAGCACAGAAATGAGAATGAAAATAGAGCAAGGACTGCACAGGACACGGACATTGGGGGTGTTTAGCATGCAAACAGAAGGATGAGATGCTCCCCAAAAGTAAAACCCACGATGGAGAGATGAATTGGGCAGGTGCAAAGAGCTCAGGGTTTCACAGCCTGACTGAGGCAAGAGGAGGGATGTTTGCATGAATAGAGTCTCTGAAAGTGCAGCAGGAAGAGCCATTCCAGCCACTGCAGGAAGAGGACACAGGGCAAGAGGGGAGCCTCCAAGCCCTGAATGCCCATCACAAAAAGCACTTTGCAGAACCTTATAAAAAGTTCAGCTTTGCATCTCGCGTGCAGTTTCCTATATTGGTTAGAAACATCAACTCGAGCCTTATGTGGAAGCAAGGCCAAGCCAGAAGTTTCAAGGACAGAGATCAAAGGAATAGCAGGCTTAAGGACTCCTCCTGAGCACTGGATGGCAGCCAGCAAACCAGTGTTCCAGAAAGGAGTGTTCCTCCTCATTCCTCTGCTTGCTGCCCTGGACAGTCAGAGCCTCTGCCTGGAGCTTGTCTGCCACCAGTTAAACCATTACAATCAGTACAATGTCCTCAGGCAGCATGAGAGCACATCCTGCATCACCACAGTCCCTGACAAAAGAAATAATCATCCTTTACCTTCTTTTCATCAGTCAGGTCAAGAGATTCAAGGTGTTTCCCCTGGTGTGCTGCATACAGCTCCAGCAGGTTATCAAAGTTTGTGGTTAACACAAGGGCCCCATTTTCCATCAAGTGAAGCACAGACTGAAGCAGCTGCTTCCCAGAATCTTCCATTTTGGATTCCAGGTCATCAAACACCTCGTATAAACAGTCCTTGAAAAAGGTGGAGCGAACGTTGCTTGTGCGCTGAGAAGGGGAGACAGATTGAGATCAGATCCGGCCCCTTAACACCTCATGACCAAATGACTCCGTGAAAAACTACCCACGTTTTCCCAACACCCTGCAAAGCTCTGGGTCCTTGCAGGGCAAACTCAGAGCCCTGGCTGCACCAGGATAGGTGCTCTCCTTCAGCACAGTCATAGGATCACAAAATCCCAGACTGGTTTGGGTTGGGAAGGACCTCAAAGCCCACTCTGTGCCATCTTGTCCCATTCTGTGCCATGGGCAGGGACATCTTCCACTATCCCAGTTGCTCCAAACCCCTCCAGCCTGGCCTGGAACACTCACAGGGATGGGGCAGCCACAGCTCCTCTGTGCACTCTCACCACCCTCACAGGGAATAATTTCTTCCCAATATCCCATCTAACTCTGCCCTCTGGCAGTTTGAAGCCATTCCCCCTTGTTCTGTCACTCCAGGCCCTTGTCCACAGTCTCTCTCTCTATCTTTCTTGCCAGCTCCCTTCAGGTATTGACAACCCTTCAGGTTTAACAATCCCAGTTCTTTCAGCCTTTCCTCATAGGAAGGTGCTCCATCCCTTTAATCATCTTGGTCCAGGTGAAATGCCCAAAACCCATGTCCACAGCAGGGTTATGTCTCAGGCACCTGGCACAGTAACTGCACTTGTGGTTCCTTTTATACAGAGGAATTGTTGGGATGGGGGCACCATTGCTGGAGAACCAAATCTGGCTATTTCCAAAAGCCAAATCCTACACTCAGGGCAGGTACAAGCACACTGACCGGAGATAGCTTCTGAATAAGGTCGTGGGCAACATGAACCAGGTTCTTGTCTTCATGAAGACACTTCTGGAACCGTTTGCTCTCTTCATCTTCCAGGAGATCAAAGTCAATAGCAGCATCCAGGAGGGCCTGAATCAGCCCCTTCCAGGACTTCAGTGCTGGAACCTGGGGAGCAACTGCAGCACTAATTCCTGTCCCAATCACCAAAACAAGTTCCCGAGGCTTCTTGGTTTTGAGGCTTGGCAACAGCTTCCTGCAAAAGGAGAAAGGAGCACAGCTGGTACCACCATGATGGGGGGTGTCTGGGGTGGTGGCAGACTGAGGGAGAGGGAGGTACCCTGTGCCTAAATTTTGAATCAAATATCCATTGGGGCTCTCTGATAAACAGTGCACGAGAGGAGCAGCTTGGTATCCTTAAAAGACAGCAGGCAGCTGCATGGGTCAGCAGCACAAATGCTCCCAATACAATTTTGGGAATCAAATCCGCTATCAGGACAGTTACTGGGGAAGTCAGTGATGCCCTGGGGTGCTTCTGTAGCAAAGCTAATCCACTAAAAATCTGGAATAAGGGAAGTCTATTAATAAAAATTGCCTGGAAGGCTGGAGGGCATGGGAAAGATATGATGAGCACTAGAGAATGAGACACACACAGGCTCTATGTCCCCAGACAAAATGTTTTTCAGATCCCATGCAGGTTGGAAATGTGACCTGGTTTAAACAAGGTGCAGAATAGGAGCCTGGAGACAACAGCTCCATTTATGCCAGCACACAGAAAAGCAAAGGAAGGCTTCCTCCCAGCTCAGCCCTGGAGGGGCCCAGCCCCCGTTGGCTGATGAACCCCCTCGGCTGCACCAGCAATCCCTTTCCTTTGATGCCTGCAATGTCAGCAGGGTGCTCTAGGCCAATGTTTTGGAATATCCCAGATGATACAGAGTCACATGAAAGGGCTGCAGGGCTGTATCCTCCTTACTCCTCCTCCCCTCCTGCCTATTTTCCTGGCTTTACACCTGCACAGTGCTTTTAAACATGACCTTTATAATTTATTAAGCAAATGTGCTGCTCCTTGCCTTGCCTTGCCTGGTGTCCAGCAGCTTTCTGCAGCAGGGACCTGCTGCAGCTTCCCAGGATTGAAGCAGCCCAGGGAAGCAGCTTGTATGGAAGAAATGGGCTTTATCAGCAAACACGTGATATTTAGTGAGAAGGGGAGAGGAAACCAACACCACACAGATGGAGCTGTGCCTTCCCTTAGCTCCTGCCTATGAAAACAGACTTGTTAACCCTTTCCTCGAGGAGGGCTTTCACTGCTGAAAAACAGGGTTCAATTTGAAGACTGCAAGCCTTGTGTGAGGAATAAATCAGAATTCATGCTAATGAGCGATTATGAAAACACTTTTGAAAATACAGGGACTGAAATCCAAAATAATAATAAATACCAAGTTTTAATGTCCTGTATGCCTTAAAGAGGCATTCTGCTCCCTGCTGAAAAATGCACTTGTTTCTACCCTGATATCCTGAGCAAGGAAAAATTCATCTCCCAGCATCTTTTCTGCACATTGCATTGATCAACCTCGAGACCACACAGAACTATCCTGTGGCCCTCCAGAACCTGCAAATAAATCAAATTAGTGGGAGACACCCACCCCAGATGAATTAGCTGCTTGTTCACATGAACTTTTGAGCCTGCAGCAGCCACAGTCTCAGTCTTTGACAGACAGAATTATCCACCAGTCAGGTCCCCACTCACAGAACTGTAAGACCACCGATTTCTAAGCACAGGGAGCCTCAGAGTGAATTATTTAGCCTTTACATGCAGTTCAATCATACTAATTTGATTAACTCCCTGGAACTCTGGAAACTACCATCCAACTCAAGCGACGAAGCACAACCACCATGTCCGACCTGACACTGTGAGTGGACAGGAGACAGGACAGTAAAATACAGCTTTGAGTATGACCCAATCCCCTGGCTGATGGTTAAAACCCCAAAAAAGTACATTCTGAGTGTGAAGGCATTTGTTCCACAAACAGCAGGAAAGGCCAGGGCACGGCCAGAAGCCAGCGCCCAGTTCTTGGATCAGGAAGCGAAACAGCTGTGGTCACCAGGGGTCACAATCCTTAAAGAACAATGCGAGGCAAAGGAAAAGGCTCTTGTTAGAACAAATTCCCTGCAGTATAATTCCATTTACCTGGGCTTTTTTGCAGGTGGCATTCCATCTTCCAATAATGTTTCCTTGCCCAGGCTCACCGTAGAAGCCATCCAGTTTCTATAGCACAGAAATCACAAACGAAGTCACTGCACATGGACAACACCCCCTGGACAACAAGGTTTTACAGAACCAGCTCTGCACAGGTACATAAATCCCAGGCTTGTTATCATTCCAAGATCCCCTCTGGGCTGAGAACTGCATGTTTTTTTCTCTGAACTTTGCCCCACAGTCTCATCCACTTCCTTAACCTCTTTTACCTTGGCTGTTTTGCCCAGGTGTGATTGCCTCAGCAAAACACACTTTGTCAGACCCTTGGTTTCACCTCAGCCACTCATTTTCCCAGGGAGCCTGGATCGTGGAGCAGCACTCCCCACTTCCCGACAAGGCCTGTCAGCAAACTTGCTGCTTGGGAAACAGTGGGAGGGAAGAGAAGACAAAGAGATTTTTGTTGGCTCCAAAAAGCCATGGAGAGTATTTCATTCTCTGGTGATGAGAGAAGGGTTTCCCAGCCCGCCATGCATCTGCAAGCACTGGGAAATGACCTTAAAGCCCACGGAAAGGAAGTGCAGTTTGAGAACTCTTTCAACAGCCCGTGACATAAAATACAAAAGCTCTGCCAGCACGCAATCCTCTCCCACTCTGCTTCTCCCAAATAAGTCTATGAAAAGGGAATGAAAACTAACAGAACTGATCACCCTCCTCTGCTTTTTCCTTGCCAATTGTAATGAAGAATCCAGAAAAACTCTATTAGACAAGGGCTTTTGGCCAGAGGAAATGCTGAGGAAGAGCCGCTGACCCAAAATCACAGGGTTTATTGCAGGTTTTGGCATCTCAGGGAGATCTGAGGGTTTGTTCTAGAGACAAACTCCCTGGCAGCAGAGCAGGTGAGACAATGGGCAGGCCTCTCCTCGGCTGTGCTGCAAGTGTTGGCATGGATCATGTGAGAAATCAGCCAATATTCTAGGAAACCACCACCTTTCAGTGCTGGATGACGAGAACAGGGCAAAGTGACATTCACATACACCATGTGTGCAGCCCTTATCTTCTGAACCCTTCAGAAAACTTTATACAACAGCATTATGGAATGGTTTGGGTTGGACAGGACCTTACAGCTCGGGTCGTTCCACCCCTCTGCCATGAGCAGGGACACTTCCCACCACACCAGGTTGCTCAATAATGTATCATTGTAACAGCAGCAGAACACCTCAGAGAGCTGATTTTCACCACCTGCCTCCTGAAACATTACTGAACACGTGCTGCTCATCACTTCCAATAGTCACCTTTTAATCTTACTGGGCCTTACTGGAGGGTCCAGATTTTGAATTAAAGCATCAAAAGCCTTTAGCAAGTGAGAAATCTCCTGGTTTTCCCCTCTCTGTACATGGAAGGCTCCTCCATCACACACTCTTGTGAACATTGTACCAGGTATTTTTTCAACCCACACTGAGCCCAGGAACACTTCAGTGCTGTTCTGACAATGAACTTCTGCAGCCTCATCACCTCCAAACACCTGCAACCTGTCAGGCCTCATGGTGAACTATTTTGGAGTGGTTAAATCTCCAAAGACCAAAGTAGTGATTCTCAGGAAGACAGGAGGACCTGCTGGACACAGGATCTGTCAGATTCACCATCAAATCCCCACAGAGTGACTGCAGCCAAGCACGGTCGGGAGAAAGGGGGGGAAAGCCCCTCTTTTTCCTTCCCAGGAGGGTCTCATCTCTCCTTTTGGACTAGCTGACTTTTCCAGGACAGGCTGTTCCCACAAAGCCAGCCAGATTTTATTTGGTGGTGCAAACATGCTTTAGACAAGCCAGAGACTTACAATAGAAAACTGGAGTGTTTCAGAGAGAAGTCTGAGCTCCTGCTGGTCTGCCCTCGGCCCCTCTGCAGCAGCATCTGAAAGTAAATCCTTCCTCACTTTCTAAACTGGATATAATTTAAGCTTATATTATCTTTGTGTTGTGAATCATCAGCTGAGCCTCGAATATCGAGGTTCTTTGTAAACTCCCACCTAGGAGCTCCTGTTTGCTTCCACCTGCCTCAGCACTGCTCCCATCTTGCTCACCCTGCACATTCCTATGCTATTAACAGCAGGAATGGAGCCATCAAATCAATTTTAAGTGCCTCTAAACGACATTTCAGAAGTAATTTTAAGCTTAGGAAAAAACACCTTTTGGAATTATAATCACCTAGTAAGGTTTTCTGATATAATGACCTTCAACCTTCAGGTCTATTATTTAGTGCAGAGAGCCATAAAGGAACAAAAATCCCATTATAAATACAGCCTAATTCCAAGAAAGTTATTACTGGTCTTAAAAAGAATTCACGGGGATTCAGCCAAGAAATATTAACCTTTGGTTTTTAGTCCTGGGGAGAAGCTGTGCTCCCCAGAGGGATGGATCATGCTGACACAGCTGAGGTATGCAAAATTAAAAGGAATTACCTCAGAGCATGACACTGCCACGGGAAAAAAACACACCAGGTACTGCAGGCTTCCCCTGGGAACACAGGTGCCATGGAGGAGAGGGAGCCACAGGCACAAGATAAGTGTCTCTCCAGCCTTCTTCAGACACTGGGAACTTTCCAGCTATTTAGACTACAGGGAGTTGAAGACTGTAAACAAAACACTCCAGGGCTTCCTGGCTCAGCTGCCCTGTTCCCATCACTTTTATCAGGGATACTAAGAGACTCCCTGTGTGGGTTTGCTGCATTCTCTTTCTCCCTCCACACCATAGAAATCCCTTAATTTATCCTAAAGCCTTCCAGACTTCAGCTTTAAACTCTGCCCAAGTCACCAAAACTGGATAAACCTAACAACAGCAACTCCCTGTGTGACACAGACATATCCAGCTGCAGAAATGTTGGAAATATGAAGGTGTATCCCAGGTAAAAGCAAACACCTGAACACCACACGTGTCAAATGAAGGCCGAGGTTCACACAGGGTGTGGATTTACAAAAACCTCTCTGCAGCTCTGCAAACCATGCATGCCACACAGTCAACACCAGAGAACCAAAAGAGGAAATTAATGGAACATTTTCTCCCCCACTTCATGGAGAAGTCGCTGCTGACACCATCTCCATGCTCAGCACCCAACACACAACTAAAGCTACACCTGGATGTTTAAAATTGAAGCCAAGTGATCCAGCTCCATGCTGGAAGATGGGCTCCTCCAGAAGAGCCCCCACAAATTCTGGAAAGAAACAAATACAAACCTACTGGTCACCCATTATTTTTAGTTTCTTTGAGTGCTGAGAACTGCCACCAGCAAATGTAATTCCCAGCTTCTTTTTCAATTCAAATTTAAGGTGTTGGGATAACATAGTTTAAAAGCCACTGTGTTTCATCTAAAAGTTGAGCTGTCCCTGGCCAATTCCCAGCCAATTCTCCACGTGGAAACAGCACTGGAGCTGGATCAAAACCATCCTAGAAACACACAGATTCCAGGGACAATGGGACCGAGGACAAGCCCTGCTCCTGTCCAAGCCACAAAAACACAGGATTCAGCCTCCTTGGATGTGAATCAAAATACACCAGAGGTTTTTATTCAATGCTGTGATTCTTCACGTGCTTCCCAATGGCTCCATGAGCAAGGAGAGGGAGTGACACAGCAAAGCCTGGCTGAGCTCTGTATCCCACAGAAGCACGCTGGCTTTCCAGGGCTGACTCTGGAAAGGGAAGCAGGGAGGGGGGGGTCAGACCTTCGGGGTTGCTCGAGCCCTTACCTGTCCTCTCCGTTGTGCCTTCCTCGCTAAACCTGCGGGAAAAGCAACAACACGGGGATTCAGCAGGCGGGGAGGACAGCGAGGCTCCTTTCCCAGGGGGACACATCAATAAAAACGAGCTTTTATAGAGGGCGATAGTGCGGCGAGTTCCCGGCCCCCCCGGTCTCCTCCGCTCCCCTCAGGCCGCTCCGTCCCCTCAGGCTGGCCGCCATGGGACCCCCCCCATTATGGCGGCCCCCGTTGCTATGGCAACAGCTTCCTTCCCCCCCCCCCGCTGTCCCCATGGCAACCGTGCCCTGGCCGCCCGCCCCGCGCGTCCCGCACGCACCTGGCGCCGCGCGCGCGGCCCCATTGAGGAGACGCCGCCGCGCCGCGCGCAGCCGCCTCGCGCCCGGCCCCGCCCCGCCCCGCCCCGCGTGACGATTGGCTCCGCCCCTTCCCGTCCCGCCCCGCCATTGGATGGCAGCGGAAGGGGCGGGGCCAGGCGTGGGAACGTGGCGAAGCGCTCGCGGCGTTTTGCGGAGCTATAAAAGGCGCGGGCGCATGCGCGGCGCAGTGGTGGGCTGGAAGGCGGTGCCGAGCGGCTCCATCTGCCGGGGCTGGGCCTGCCAGTGTCCTTGTTCCCCCTCTTCCCCTCAAGGGCTTCTCCTCCGCCAGCTGCCGCTGCCTGGGTTCGTGTATGTGCGACCGCGTCTCCAGCCCTATGAGGTACACGCGGTGCCTGGGCCTGGATGGCCGCTATGATGCCTTCAAGCATTTGTGTGATGGAATTTGTGTGTACTTAGAGCTTTCCAGGAGAAAAACTGTTCTGTGTTTTCTGGGTATCTGGCACCGTAAATGAAACATTCATGGTGTTTTTAGGGACAAAATTAGCCTTATTTTCTCACCAGAACCACCTTTGTTTGGCCCTGCCTTGCAGTACCTGGTCTTCACCGTTTCTTAATTCTACAGGCACTCCTGTAAGCCGCAGGCTCCTGATGACAGCCTGAAACTCCTGCTGCAGGGATTTCAGCATGCTGCTGCTGGTGGGTCAATACAGCCGTGCCTGCTTAACTTCTCCTTTAATAATGGTTATATTGTGGCTGAGGTAGGGTGGAGGTTGATCCAGAGGGTGCTGCCTCTTGGCGTTTAGGGTTTGTGGGTTCACCCTTGCTCAGGTTCACTCTCTGGGGTTTCCAGGCGGGGTGACTCACACAAGCAGGTGACTCACTGCCTTCCTCTGGGTTCTGTCTTCAGGTGGGGAGTTGACTTTTGGGGTGGTGGCAGCAGTGCTGGGGTAGGGACAAGTGCGGAATGGGTCCCAGTGGGATCAGTGCTGGACCCATGACTGGTGGTAGTCTGTGGGTTCCTATGGGACTCAGTACCATTCAGCCTTGGAATTTTTCCTTTGGAGTTTGGCCACCAAGGCGCCAACTGGTGTTCCCTGCTTGATGGAGAGAAAGGCAGCTGAGATGGTGGGGGGGTGGGGAGGAGCCCAGTGTCTCTCGAGGAATTCATTGCATTTTTGGGCACAGGCTGCCCAGGTTCCTCTGGCTCTCAGCACTGTGTTTGAGGATGGGCTGGGGCCCTGCAGGAGGATCTTGCCTGCTCCCATACCCCCAAAATTCCTTCCAGGGCTCATAGATGGACTGGCTTGGGGCTGGGAAGGCTCTTATGGCAAAGGGCAAAGGCATCAGGGAGCCTCCCCCCATTTAATGTGGCTTTGTGCTACTGTACCCTGGTCTCTTCTTTTGCTGGAGGTGATGGGTGAGCAGACGTGGAAGCACCTGTGGAAGCCACAGCCAGGTGGTGCCATGGAGGGAATGCTCAGTGTTCAACAGGAGCTCTTCAAAGACCTGTGGGATACAGTGGTGGTGTGGGCATGGGGTCCCCCAAAGCCTGACAGGTGCTGGTGGGTGTTAGGGGATCTCCTGACCGTCAGCTCTCCTTCCTGAGAGACTCAAAGATCTCGGGGTGGGGGGAGGCAGAAGCAAACAGCAGTGTGCTGAGCAAGAAGGTTTGTTCCAGCCCTGGGGTACAGCTTGCTCATGGTGGTATTGATGAAGAGGTGTCTTGACTGGCCCTGGCATGGAGTGTTGAAGTTAAATGTGGTGGGGGGATATTTTTTGGGGGTTAGAGGACATGGGACTTTTCCCTGAAGGAAATACTTCCCTTCAGGCTTGGAGGTGTGGGGGTTGTTGTCCCAGTCACCTTGCAAGCAGAAAGGGGGTACTGGGGTTGTGTTTTGCTGATATTCAGGGTGAGGACTCGGATGGGAGAGGGAGGGACACATTCAGCATTGGGACTGGACCCCTAGGCCCCCACCTCCTGGTGTCACACGGGATGTGGGACACCTCCACACTGTACTGGGCTGCCAGCTTGGCCATGATGACCTGCAGCAGCAGGTGGAGGGTTTAGTGTCCACATCAGGTCCTGGCATTGTCCCCTAGGCAGGGGAGAGATGGGGAAATTTCCTGTGCCAGGAAGAGCTTGCTTGGATGGGCATGCAGGCCCTGGAGACCCCCCCAGATTCCTGGGAGATGGAACCAGGACTCGCCTGGAGCTCATCTCTCATAGGACATTGAGGAGGAACTTCTAGGCATTGGAGGGGTTGAGGATGATGAGGAGATGAAGGCAGTGTCAGTTGTTGGCCACCACCAGCAGCACCAGGAGAACAAGACCTGGGAAAGGAGAAATACAGAGGGGATTTTGGGGTGAAAAAATGACTCGTTTGGTAAGTTTAGCTTGTGAAATAAGCGTGAGTGGCAAACATGGACCTGTCATTTAGACCGGAAGCGAGGATGAAAACAGGTCTGGGTGCTGGTGAGGGCTGGGTGTTCTGACACACAGGCAGTGACGATGTGGGAGGGACGCCCCTGGGAGGGCTTGGCTTCCCCTCCCTGCAGTCCGGCCCATTTACCCTGCCTGTGCTTTCACATTCTCCACCAGAGGCTGGAGCTGGGGGCACGTGGATGTTCGGGGAGCTCCTCGGTGGGTGCCCCTGCCCTCATTTCCATCCAGGGGCAGCTTCACTGGGAACCACTCCTGGATGTGGAAGCTGCAAGGATGGATCAGCCTCTCCATTTGCTGCAGGTCCCATTAGACTGCAGAGTGAACATGGTGCTACATTCTACCTGTCCTTTCCCACCCAGGTAATCCCAGAAGATCTTTCTTTGCCAAACCCAGGGGCTGATGCATCCCTTTCCCTGCTCCGGTGCTGGACTCCTGCATTCCAGGTAGGCATCCCTCCTACTTCCCCCCCTCCCCACTGCTCACTGTCCATGCTCATTGCTCTAATCACACTTGAGCTTCTGGCTGTCACTAGGAGGTGACACTTGGGCACTGTGGTTTCCGTGGGCGCGCCGGGGTTTTGCTGGCATTTCCTGCAGTCCTGTGCCGTTTTTGGAGTAGGGGAAAGGCTTCAGCATGACTTCGGGTGTTTCATTTCCGAAGAGATGACACCAGCAGCAGGAAACAGCAGCTATTTCCCATATTGCTGCTCCTGAGTGTCCGCAAGGAGTGTCTGGGCTCCCTAAACATGCTGGGAGCATGATGCCGAGGCATGGGATGGTGTGAACTGGCAGGGAACAGACACGAATGCCAGGATGCACAGCGCTGGGCATCACCCACACTGCCTTTGGTTTGCCAGCACCCAGTCCATCCCTGGTGATCTCAGCTGATTCCCACTTCTCCCCTCCACAGGATCCTTTCCCCACTGATGGGAATGAGGGCTTCTCCTCCCTGTTATCTCTTGGCCTTGCTTGCTGCAGGTGTGTATCTCCAGTGGAGAGAGCCAGTAATAGGTAAATGTTGCTTCCTAGCACATTTTGGGGAGGCAGATGTGGAAAACCCTGCTGGGGGTGATTTTGGGACTGTAAGAGAGAGCACCCCATGGAACAGACCATGCTGAGCTCCTGGGGCTGAGACTTGCCATGAAGCAGTTCTTGCTCTCAGTTTTTTATCCCTCTTTTCTGCTCTCAGGAGAGGTGTCCCACTGGCAATTGGTGGCTGAGCAGCGTGCTGCCCATTATGGCTGGTGAGTCTGGGAATAAGCCTTTTTGGTTCTGTCCCCTCCCCAATAGAACACTAGGGTGCCCATGGGCTGCTCCTCATGATTCCACAGCGTTGAAGTGTTGGTGGCAGCTCAGGTTTTAGGGACCAGAATGGTTTTGGGGGTCGAGGTGAGATCCCACCCACCCCTTTCCATCTGAAGGCATCCTGCAGGTTGAGTGATGCTGAGTCCTCCAAAACTCACTGTGGCCTCCTTCTGCAGGTTGGTTTAGGCGGCTCCTGCACAAGCCTAAGCCCAGCTCAGTGGAAAGCCTCAAGTCCAGCCACTCTGCTTCATCCTCGCCTTCCTCCTCCTCTTCATCCTCTGCCAAGAGCTCCAGCTCTTCTGGCACGAGCTTGGCCACCAGCTCCATCTCCCTATCATCTGTGTCAGCAGTGGACATCAGCGCCTCGGACAGCCCCCGGTGGGACAAGAGATACGACGTGTGCATCTGCCACAGCGAGGGGGACGTGGAGCTGGTGGAGGAGCTGGTGTCCTACCTGGAGGGCCAACCTGAGAGCTTCCGGTGCTTCCTGCAGCTGCGGGATGCGGTGGCGGGAAGCGCTGTGGTGACAGAGCTGTGTGACGCCGTGCAGAACAGCCACTGCTGGGTCATGCTCATAACCCCCGGCTTCCTGCAGGACCCCTGGTGCAGGTACCAGATGCACCAGGCCTTGGCTGAGGCTCCCATGGCCAATGGACGCACCATCCCAGTGCTGAAGGATGTGGATCGCAAGGATTATCCCAGGGAGCTGTGGAACCTCTACTACATCTACATGGCACTGAAGGAGAAAAGCTTCAAGCAGATCAGAGACACTGTTGTGCGCTGTGAGTATCCCGTGGGATGCTGATGAGACCTCAGTCCATTGGGATGAGGCCCATGGGAAGTAACAAGATTCCATAAATTTACTTAAAGTTGATTTTTAGAGTAATTGTTTGTTAATGGAGCTCATCTGTTGTCTCTGCAGACCTCCAGGAACTGTGCCGGAGCTCCACAAAAAGGACAGAGTAGTGCTGGGAGCATGCAGATGCATCCCCATGGGCATCATGGAGCTGTTGCTGTTGGATGTCCCATTGGACCTTGAGGTCAAACCTGAGCTGCTCAGACTTCACCTGGGAGCCAAGGATGGGGAGTTCTCCACATCCGTGAGAGACAGCAGACCGGAGCCCACCACGTCCCGGTGGCCAAAATCTCCTCAGTGAGGACAGGGATATCCATCACACAAACACTAAGCTCTGACATCGGGTGGTTTTCAGGGTCACGAGAGCTCTTTACTGCACTGCCATTTTCTGTCCTGAGGGCTCCGGGCTCCCTCCTGTTGTTCCAGTCAACTTGAAAGCAGATGGGGGGCACCGGGGTTGTGTTTTGCTGGGCAAGGACTCAGGTGGGAGATGGAGGGACGCATTCTACTAAGCTGACAAGGCCCCTGCTGGGCTGCGGGCAGGACAAGATGAGGCAGGCAGTGACTTTGCACGGAATCATTGCGACTACAAAAATGCAGAAGTTTTAAATTTTGGTGGTTTTCCGTATTTTTGTCTCAATTCCCGGTTCGGGCGTTTGTGGGAGGAGGCGCCGCGGGGGTGCGCGACCTCCGAGCCGCCAGGGGGCGCGGTTCCCCAGCGCTCCCCGAGGCGCCGCGCGTGCGCAGTGCGGGGGCGGGCGCGAGCCATGGCGGAGGGCCCGCAGCCGAAGAGGAAGCGGGAGGAGGAGGAGGAGAAAAATGGCGGGCCCGCCACTCAAGGCGGCGGCACCGCTGCCTTCACGCTGTCGGACCTGCGGGTGCGGCGCGTCCTGCGGGAGTCGGCGCGGGACAAGATCGTGTTCCTGCACGCCGAGGTACCGGGGAGTGGGGGGGAAGCGGTTCGCGCCCGCCGCCATTTTCCCCGCTCTGGCCAGGCCCCGCCCCCGGCCGCGCGCTCTGGCCAGGCCCCGCCCCCCGGCGCCGCTCTCCGCCAGCCCCCCGGGCACCCCCGGGCATCCCGACCCAGCCTGGGCCCGTCCCAGCCTGGGCCCGACCCGCTTTTCCACCCTGGCACTGCCCAAACCACGCTAAGCTGGCGGCCGACGAGAGCTTATTGCAGCCCCTTTCTTGTTGGTATAATTCGGTGCTTTTGTTCGTGCTTGGTAGGTAAAAGTGGCACTGGATTGCAAGTAGTGTGCTGGTTCTGAGACTGTCAATAGTACAGCCATTATAGGAAAATCTGTAATAATTCTTGAGGTTGTGTATGGTCAGAGAACCATGCAGCTGCCTTGGCCTCTGCCTCCTGAAGATGTGCGTCCAAGCAGAGATGAGGACAGGGAAGTTCTTTGGTCTTGAGGAGTGGGCTGCTGCAGTAACTGAGCGGGGCACAGACCTGCTCTGCCCTATGTGCGTGTCCGGAAAATCCACAAACGCCAGAGGCTGATGTTTAAAAGGAGATAGAGGAGTCCTTCAGCTTTATTCGAGTAAAGAGAGAGAGTCCACTGGACCACATGCCCACAGGGTTTTCTCTCTCGAGGTTTCAGGGGGCGCAGTCTCCTTTTATCCCAACTCTGCCGCACGTTGCCCTCTTCCTTTCCCCATCGGCTGAAGTACCAGGAAGATTCAGCCTACCCCGTATCCCCCCTGAAACCTGGCATTTTCCCCCAAAGTTCAGAAGTTCAGGCTTGTCTCTTTCAGGACCCAAACTGCCCAAAGTCAATAGAGACATTCAGACCTATTTCAAAGACATTAACACCCATTAAATTGTAAAGGCATTAGCATGCATCTTCCTTCTCAAGGGGTGACAAGGTTGGGAGCTCCAAGTGAATGGGTAGGCCTCACCTGGGCCTTGTACAGACAGGAGTGATGCTGGGGGATGTTCCACACCCAGCACCTCCCAAAACCAGCACGCCGAGGCCACTGGACTGGGAGCTGTAAGTGCAGGGGGCTCTAAGTGCTCCCTGCCCCAGAATATGTTCCCTGACTATGATGCAAATCTCCAGGCCTGCCTTTGCCCTCTTTCTCGGAAGTGTCAGAGATGAAATTGGTGCTGTGGGTCAGCAGGAAACCTGGGAGCATCTGGGGAGGTGCAGATGGGCTGAGTCATAGCCCATATCCCCTGCTCCCCCAAAAACCACCTGTGTTCCCTGGTGGAGAGCAAATTCTTGCTGTGCTTCTGAGCAGATATGCTGGTTATCTTCGGATGGGTGTCTGGCCTGCAAGGGGGTTTGGTCACAAGGACCCAGGGGCTGCGGGGTGTCTGCCGTGATCCCTGACCTCAGACTGTCCACCCAGTGCTGGATCTGTGTTTGCTGATGACTTTATCTATTCATATTCCAGAGGATTGGCCACTCTGGAGAAGGCACAGATGCTGTAGTCATCCTGGAAAAGACTCCTTTCCAGGAGGAGAAGATCCCTGACCTGCTGAAGAAGCCCATGAACACGGAGCTGCAGGTGCACAATGACATTTACTGCACCTTCTACCTGAGCCCTCCCCCAGAAATGAGTGGTGAGTGCTCTCAGCCCTGCTCAGGGTCCTGGGAGGGCAGCTGGGATGCCAGGATATAGTTCCTGCCCATTCCAGAGGGGAGGATGCAGTGAGATGGGCAGCTGCCACTGCTGGACCTGGCTGTGCCACTCTGGTTGTGGTTCAGTGACAGCAGCACTCCTGGCCCAGGTGGAGAGGTCAGTGTGTTGTTGCCACGCTGAAGGCAATGTCTGTCTCAAGGTTTGAATGCTGCCCTGTTTCATCTCCTTTTTCCCATGCCATGGACACCTGGCTCAGCTGGTGAGGCACTGAATGGCCATGGCTTGATGACCTTGTATGTGAAGGTGCAGAAAGGCTCCGGGCATGAGGGCTCTCTGTGGGTGATTGTCAGTGCTCTTAGTGCTTTTACTTGGGTGAGTCTGCTGGGCATGTGCAGCTGTTTCTCATCCCATGGTGGCACCTCATGGGCTTTTCTGTCACCTGGTAAGGACAGGCAGCTTGTATTTGGGGGAGGATTTAAGTGCTGATAACCTCAATTGCTGGGGCAGATGTGCCCCATCCCCCTGCTGATTTCACACATCTGTGTTATGAGACTGTTGATAACCAAGTATGACAAGGACAGATGGGCAGGTTGGGGAGCTCTTGCCCTGCACAGGGGACTCTGGTCCCACGAGGAAAGTGTCCTGCAGTGATGGTGCTTTCCAGCTGCTACTGGAAAGCAGGGCTGGTCTTTGGGCACTTCAGTTTAATCAGAGAATCCCAGACTGTATTGGGTTGGAAGGGGCCTTAATGCTTCTTTTGTTCCAACCCTCCTGCCATGGGCAGAGATGCCTTCCACTGTCCCAGGGTGCTCTAAGCCCTGTCCAACCTGGCCTTGGGCACTGCCAGGGATGGGGCAGTCACAGCTTCTCTGGGCATCCTGTGCTGGGGCCTCACCACCCTCACAGGGAAGAATTTCTTCCCAATATCCCATCTGTCCCTGCCCTCTGGCAGTGGAAGCCATTTCACCTTGTTCTGCCCCTCCAAGCTCTTGTCCCAAATCCTTCTTCAGCTCTCTTGGAGCCCCTTTAGGCACTGGAAGGGGCTCTGAGGTCAGCCTGTCTCCAGAGCTGCTCCAATCCTCAGAGCATCTCCATGGCCTCCTCTGGACTTGCTTCAGTGGCTCCATGTTCTTCCTGTGCTGAGGACCCCAGAGCTGGAAGCAGCTTGGCAGGTGGGGTCTCACCTGAGCACAGCAGAATCACCTTCCCCAATTAATTCCATGTGAATGCTGGCATATATTTGAATTCTGGAAGTGCAATGATAAATTTTATTTCAACACTTTCATAAACACAGTAACAGCCAAACAGGTTTAATAGTCAAAAATTAGTCAGAGTGCCTTAATTAAGATGTTGTTGCAGGGCCAAGTTAAATTTTCAAGATGTTTGATGTGCTTTCCCAAAAATGCTCTTGTTTTAGCTCTGTTCCCAGCATGTAGGAGGGAGCACTGTCTGGATTTGTCAGCTTGAGTTGTGCAAAACTCCTTTTCTCCTGTGAAGGACTCAAAATTAAAGATTTTGTTGTTACAGTGAGTTTCAGTCTGAGAAAAACACCATAACACCACGGGTGTTGTTGGAAGACGTTAAAGCTCCTCTTTCTTAGCTGGGAAAACAACTTGGTGCCTGCTGTACTCCAGCCCAGCAGGAGTTGCAGTGATTCCCACGAGGTGGCATTGCAAGACTGAAATCCCCTGGGCTGCCTCCAGCTCAGCCCTGCCAGCCGTGCTGGCCTTTGCCTTCCTTACAGCACCTTGCTGCAGCTCTGTGTAACTGCACGTTCTTCTGATAACAGAATTCCTAATTTTGTTTAAGGCTTATGCCAGGAGCCAAACCCCTCCTGCATATCTGAATAGGGAAGAAGCCTCTGGCTTTCTTCTGCCAAGCTTTATCTTTTTAATGACTTTGAAATCCATCTTTAAAAGGTAAGTTTTTTTCAGAAATATTACCCAGTGGTGCATTCTTGCTTCCCACCCCTCAACTCACTCTGGATGCTGAGGAGCCCCAAGCAGGAGATCAGGAGGGGGCTGTAGACCCTGGATCAGCTGTCCAGGCTCCCTGAGTCAGAGTGGAGAGTAAAGAGGCTTCTTCTTTTGAAGCAATTAGCAGCAAATAGCTGTTTGGTGGGCAGCTGGGCTGGCACCAGGAAAACAGCCCTGTGTGTCAGGAGGGGAAGGAAATGACCTTTTGGAGCTGAGTCATGGCCTAAGGATGAAGTTGATGCGAGGAATTCAGCTTGAAAACCTAAACAGAAGGAATTGCCTTGAAAGCTGCAGTCAGGGTTTGACTGACCTGGGATGTTGAATGGTAATGTGGAGACCCAAGGAGCCCTTGCACAGGTCTGTCAGCTCCTTAGGTGCAGGGTTAGTTTACAGGGTTTTTTCTCCAGGTCCTTGCACCTTTACACTCGGCTACAAAATACAGTAAAATATTTTGTAGAAAAGCCTAGACTTTGGCATCAAGCAGTTTCATGGAACAGTGCTGTGTTGTGTGATGAAGGAATTCACCTGGGGGATTTCACAGCACCCTGGGCAGCTGACCCCTGCCATGCTCAGCCTTTTGCTTTCTGAGGTGAGATAGACCTTGGACAGAGGAAATGATGACTGTGGGTGACACATGCTGATGCTGCCTCTAGAGCAGGTTTCTCAATGCTGCCTCTGTGGTCCCAAGTATCTGGGGCTCTTCATTCAGCTGGAATTAGAGACTTCTTTCATTCTTTCTCTACCTCTGTGTTGAAGAGATTTGGGTGCTGCTCCCTTTGTGCAATCAAACCAGCACAGCCCAATGCAATGATGACTTGTTTGTATGGTGACACAGGGAAAGACAGGCCAAAGCATGTTACTTGAGCAAATGACTCCCCTCTGACCTCAGAAGAGACATTTCACTGGGGGAAGATGGATTTCACTCTGAGATTTTTAGGTCTGGGAGCACACTGGTGTGAAGATGACACCAGATGAATTTTGGTCGTCTGATTGATGTTACTGTCAAGGCTAAAATGGGAAATAACATTTGCAGACAAGCC